TCCGACACCCTGTGTAACACAATTTATATGCCAGATTGACCTGTCTTGTCTGACACCCTGTGTAACACAACTTTTATGCCAGATTGATCTGTCTTCTCCGACACCCTGTATAACACAATTTATATGCCAGATTGACCTGTCTTGTCTGACACCCTGTGTAACACAACTTTTATGCCAGATTGATCTGTCTTCTCCGACACCCTGTATAACACAATTTATATGCCAACCCTGTGTATCACAATTTATAGGCCAGATTGACCTGTCTTCTCTCTTACACCCTGTATAACACAATGTATAGGCCAGATTGACCTGTCTTCTCTGACAACCTGTGTAGCACAATTTATAGGCCAAATTAACCTGTATTCTCTGACACCCTGTGTAACATAAAGTATAGGCCAGATTAACCTGTATTCTCTGACACCCTGTGAGACAAAGCATATATCTTTCAGAATAACCTGTCTAATCTGATGTATACTATATTTACTTTGAAGCGTTAATACTTTGAGGAAGATATATGTATCATTTTGATGTCAAGGCTGTCAAAATATCTCAAATAGGGTGGGGTTACGTAGGTATGGGGGGCTGTTACAGGAAAAGGTAAATAAACTTTTCTCAAAGAAGAAAGCAAAAAACACTTACAAATATTTTCTCTCTCTGATATTTCGTGATATTTTTTATCCATTACAGCATATGCTGCTCAGGCTGATTATCACGCTGACAATGGAAAAGCTATCCTCCTCAACACCCCGCCGACCATTACCACGGAAACGGAGAAAGCAAACGTCTACACTGTTCTGTTTCGCCTGTACTACACCAAAGGTCGAGCCCTGACCTCTCTTAAGAAGTTTCCGGAAGCCGAACAGATCCTGTCGAAGGCAGATAAATTTCTCGCTGACCTGTTTAAAATGTCGTGTGTGACCCAGGATGAATGCGATGAAATGGAGATTGACGTTTCACATGCTAAAGCAAGGTAATATTTAAGAAACGGGTATATTTTTTTTAAACTTTTTTTTTACTTTTCAAGATTTTCAGAACATGTACATTTTACAGAACATCACATCAACACACACATTCACACATCCACACATTCACACATATCAACTATTGAAATTATCATCATCATCCTCATCATCCTCATCATCTGATGATGATTTTATACAATCACCAAGACACATTCAATTTTCACGCACTTTCACACATAGAGAGACAAAACAAATGGACAAAGAGCACTATTAAAGAGAGAGAGAGAGATCAGACTGCCAAATTTGAGAAGAAAATAAAATAAAATAAATAAATGCTGTGAGTATATATATGTCAATATTTAGTTTTTTAAAGAAACATGTATATATATAGTGCACATGTATCATAGTGGAATATATAATGAAGAAGAGGAAATGTTATGTAGGAAAAGGGATCTTATAAATCTGAGTTAATCACTTTTCAAAGATGTAGTTATTTTTTCAACATTTTCACATCTAGAGTTGCATATTTCACCATAACATACCGGATTATGCTAATTGTATCTATTCAATGACATGAAAATGTAATAATTGAATGTACTGCAATTTCAAAAACATTATATATGAGTAACTGTCAGGATGATGGTATGTCTCATACTTAAATCAGCCTTTGTGTCCCACTATAAACAGAGTTATGGCCTCTGGCATACAGTGTATCACTTAATACAGTATATATATATCTAAAAGTTCTGTCAACTTAATTATCAAATTCTGTAAATGAGCAATTCTAGGGATAGCATAGAGTACTATTTACTGAGTTATAGTCCTATTTTCAGCATACATTTATGTTGTATGTATGGGGCATATCTCATACTCTTTTTTTCTACCATTGCTGAATTTTGTATATAATTAATACCGTAACACCTCTATAAATGGCAAAGTGTCACAAACTTAAATAAAGCCGTGTGCAAGCTTTATAGGAATTATTGCCTCTTGTTCGTTTCTGAATAAAACCAATTTTCTAGATTGGTCAAATATATTGTTTTGTTTGTGATAAAGCTATTCTGACTTTATAATATGAATTGCATCCTGATCTTTGAGAGTTATCTCCCCTGTCAAATTCAACTGGAATTTTTTTTTACACCATTGGTATATGGTGCTGAAATAAAAAATAAAAAAAAAAATTCAGGAAAAAAAAATCACAAAATATTTTTTACTGTACATTTCTGTATTTTGTAGACTTTATTGTAAACAGAAGAAGCAGGCCCTCGCTAGCAGTCAGTATGATAAACTCCTTGACCAGATGCAGGCACACTACGGCAAGGACAGTATGGAGCTGGTTCCTGTTTACCAGGAGAACGGACAAATATCCTTTGTGTAACAGAACCAGCAGTGTGAAGTATGTTTGGACAGGAGCTATAGTGTTTGTTAAAAACTATGATTTCCTGAAAGTATCACCCAAACTGATCTTCAGTTTTACTGCATCACATCATTGAAGTTAGTGGGTTGATACTGTACTTTATCACATACCTGTTGAATCTTGTTATAGTAATACAAGCAATTTTCAGACCATGAAATACAACGTTAGGTATTGCACATGTGCAATACGGAATGTTGTATTTACCTACTAGCCGGAACTACTTTTTATGGGAATCCCCTTGTCATGGCAAACTGAAAAGTTCCTGGTTTTTGCAAAAAAATGTCAAAGTTCATCAAGTCTTTGTATCGATCTCTACCAAATATGGATGGTATGCGATAAAAGCTCTGCGCACTCGTGAATATATTTGTCTGCGCAATAAACTTGTGCTTTATGATTTGTTAGAAAAAAACAAGTGTGTGGTCTTGCATATGTATTCAGAGTATCCATCCCTGTCTCTGTCTATTCTTCTGTGAGCCCAAGGTAGTTGTTCTCTGCAGTTTTTATTTATTTTGATTTCAAGGATTTTTTTGGGATTTATGTCCATTTTCTTATATCCTTTTATGAAGTTTGTCTGTGTTTCATCTGCTAAGATAGATTTCCTTGTTTAGAACTTAAAGTGTAGATCCTGAACTCAAGTTTTACAGAAAACTTGTTAATGTGATCCAAATTCATTCTTTTAAATACTATTTACTTCTATAAATAGCCTCTTCATGGTCTGATAATCTCGAAAACACATTATTTCAGACATATTTTTTCAGACACTGAAGTATTCAGATCCGAGATGAACTCCTTTACTAATTTAATTGCACAAAGCTTAAGTCATTTAAAATTAAAAGGATTAAAACTTTGGTGAAATCGGATGAAAATTCTCAAATATTTCTTAACTGCACCCACTTGGAACAGAGTAAAGGACGCCATGCCAACCACGACAAGGCCATAGAGATGTACCTACAGGCCCACTCCATAGCGGGCGCCAAGTGAGTGTCTCAATATCTTTCAAATCTTGAATTAACAGGTGTCTCCCTTTTAAGCAGGGGAATATCAGCTTGTCACCCCCTAGTGGGAGATAGCCTGGTGTAGAATGGCATGATCTAAGTCATAACAATAGTATGAAATCACATTACATGTATCAATGCATTAACGTCACGTCAACAGTACAGCAGACCATGGAAGACCACTCTGGATTTGCTGGGAAAATATTCAATCAACGTTTATATTTCATGCAATCACCGCTTGTCGATGAATTTGCGAGTGTAATAGGATGGGAGAAAAACATTCATCCCCTACCCTGATGGTGTGGCAGAGAAGTCTCCAACCCTCGGGATGATGTTCTTGAATGTCTTACCCTCGGCACAGCCTTGTGTAAAACAATCAAGAATATCATGCCTCGGATTGCAGATTTCTCTGTCACCCCCTCAAGGTAGGGGAAGATTCTATTAATCTATATATATAGAAAAAGGTCGAAATGTTTCAAAAGTTACTTTTTTGTAGTGTAGATTTATTGGTATGTGAAATCTGAAATAACTCGCATCTTGAATAAATCTTTATTCATATAAAATTTTATAGAACAACTTAAAGAAGTCTTCATACTTAGTGTAGTGATGCTCTATTGTACTGAAATAAAAACTTGCTTTTAGCAATCTATTTTGAATTAAAAAAATCAAACTTTTCTGTATGCATGCTGCTGAACATATAACTTCATTATTAATACAGCAACTTTTTCTTTTTCTGTAAATCATTTTGTGAAATGATTCGCTGTAATACATGTATTTCTATAGAAGGTAACTACATGTATGTTTTGACACTTAAGTTTATATATATAGCACTATCTGTTTTTTAGTTACCATGATGACAACCTTGTCACCATGGATACAGCACTAAGTTTGGCAAGAGCGTACTCACAAACTGGCAGAGAGGAAGCCGAAGGTAAGTACAGGTTCCAGCTGTTCCAGAATCAAATATGGCGGTGATGGCGGTTGGAGGAACCGATTCACTTAAGGATTGAATTCTGTTTTGTTGAGGTTTATGGGGTATAAACCTCAATGGGTCTTGAGACAATTTTTATGAACTGCGAAGCAGTTCATTTTGAATTTGTCTCAAGACCAATTGAGGTTTATGCCCAATAAACCTCAACAAAATGGGATTCTATCCTTATATTTACATTCAGAGCGATGATATTTGTTCGGATAATTTCTAAAATATCTGTCTTGTGCAAGTCTAACACCACGGAAGGTATTAAGACGGATGACGTCATCACTCACTGTGAGACGTCGTCCTGGTAAGATGAATAAGCAAATTAAGATGTAAATTATTATTTGAATTCTATTGAATACTTCTGACAAAAAAAAATATAAATTGAAAACAATCTATGAGTGAAACTACTTCCCGCGCTCCGCAAAATAATTGAGTAATCAGGTTGATGATATGCTGATGTATTCATACGCCAACCGAAAAGTTCATTGAAAAATAACCTTTAAAATGTTAAGTAGTATATTGAGTCCAAGTTCAGTAGAAATGTAAATATTTATAATTGATAACACATGAACTAGGTATATCTATAATGTATTAACCCTTTCACCACTGTAGGCCGTAATGGACTTATCCAGATGAATGTAGGGTAGAGTCTACTCAAGTTACCTAGGGGTGAAAGGGTTAATGTATGTGTCTGGCACTTTAAAGGACATAACAAGTTCAAGAATCAATATTAAAAATATTAATTGATGATCGATTATAATCGAAAATTGATTAGCTTGCCCTTTCTGGTTCCAATTATTGATTACAAATTCCATAATCGATATAATAGGTTCATCAGTATTTAAATGTTTTTCATGTTAAGTATGCTTTGAAAGTCATATATTCTTATTATTTACATTATAATTATGATTAATATAAATAATGCATAAAAGTTGCTTGATATGCATACACTATGAAAGAACGAAACCTAGTGTATAGTTAACAACTCTGTCTATTGATGTAATAGTAGTGATCTCACTTGATTCCAATAAAATTATGAACCGATTATGCAATTGATCATTGATCGGTTCACAATACTTCTGATTACAAACCGATTATCGATTATGATTTTATACCGATTGCCCATCACTACTAATTGATAACACATGAATTAGGTATTGGACCCGCCCCTGCTTACACACAAGTGGTATAGGGGAGAAAAAAATCAACTTTAATGACATAATATTTTTTGCACTTAATCAGGTGTGGCAGAAAAATACCTGAATGAGTGTCTAGCAATTTGTCAAACCTGTCACGGTTCAAATCACAAGAAAACTGTGGAAGTCATGGATGAATTAGCACGACTTCTGATTCGTGTTGACAGACAGGAGGTAAGTGTGTTGGATGTTTTTTAAGACTTGATATAGGGTTTTGAAAATCAAACAAATGGAAAAGAGTGATGAGCTAATCCTAAACATTTGCATTTAGTTAATTAAAAAGTTGTAATTTGAGAGATATCTTTTGGCATATGCCACTGTTTAAAAGATGACAAAATTAAAAAGTAGAGTTTAGTGATATTACAGGGTGGTCGGGTGGCGCAGTGGTTAGCACGCACTTGCCTTTCACCAAGGCTGCCGTGGTTCAATTTCCCGATCGGACGTGAAAAGGTATGGGGTCAGCTGCCTGACCATGTGGGTTTTTTCTGAATACTGCGGTTTCCTCCCACAGTAACAACCGTACCAACAAAAGTGATTAGTATAAGTTGTAATAACTTGTTTCATAATTGTTGCAAAATAAATAAAGTTTATATATTGTCACTTTTTCCTGTAGAATAATCAATCTTTTCATTATTAAATCCATACAGCAGATCAGGACCCGTATTCATGAAACCATTCTCGTGCTCAAGCATGGATTCTGTGCTCAAATCTACTTTCTTGCAGCTGGCTTTTATTAAAATCATCTTACACGGTCAAAAAGTCAAGTTCAAACATAGAAATCGGCATTCAGCACTAAGACTCTCCCAAATTCTTCCAGATCATTGACAAAATGTGACTTTTCATTAGTTTATCACTGGGATAAGAAATTGGGCTTGAGCACAAAATCTGACTTTGAACATTAGAACGGTTTCATGAATATGGGTCCAGGTGTATCCCTCCCAAAGAAAGCTTTGCTTGTACTGTATTGTGATTTGGGAAAATTGCAACAGCTTTCGACTAGTTTTCCTATTCCTCTTTTAATTCATATATGTTATAATTGTGTTAGATTAGTGAAAAAAAATATACTGTTGTCAACTAATAACATTGCTGGTTCTTCGTTCCCCAGGAGGCGCTGAGTATCCTGCGCTCGAGTCTGCCCGGGAAGTGTGAAGCGTATGGAGATTATTCGGAGCAGGTTTCCGACACATACAAACTCATCGCGTCCGTCCATCTGTCTGGGGGAAGTTCAGAGAAAGCAGTCAGAGCCTATCAGAAGGTACGTATACCTCAAGGATTATAATTATAAACGCGGCCATTTTACTATAGTAGTAATTCAGCAATAAGCCTATGCCTGTTAATAAGCCCATCATATAGATATCAATTCAGTAGAGATGGCAACCGTAGTTATTTCATTGTCAAGTAATAAGCCCACCCTCTCCTTTAAGTCAGATATTGTGTATTAACTCCCTTAAATTATTACACAAATAGCTTGTCATGTTTTATTTAATAACAAAATTTCTTGCGAGTTAACTCATTCACCCCTGAAATTTCATAATGAACTATTCCACCCTTTGAATTGAAAGGGTTCAAATGTGTCTTCAGGGGTCAATAAGTTAAGAGATGGTTGACTAGTAATAGCTTCAAGGCCCGATCGTTTTTTGTTTATTTTTTATCATTATTGGACCCATAATAATAATGATAGAAAAAAATAATAAAGCGATCGGGCCTAGAAGCAGCAGTTCCCTCAGCTAGACTAGTAAATATTATTGTTATACCTCACCTTCATAACAGTGTATCTGATTGAATGATGCTGGTCACATGACGGGTTAATAAAACATCATGTCATCCTCGATCATATTTTCCTTATTTGGAGCCTCTCTTGAAAAACCAGCAACCTAGTTTGGAAAGATGATATTTGAGAAAATGTAATGTTTATGTAATACACTGTAGTGATATTGTATAAATTGTTTGTATTTGTTTGCAGTGTCATAACATTGAGTGTCTTGTTCTCGGAAAGAATTCCAAAAAAGCAAAAGATTCTGAACGCACCATTGAGATCCTTATGGCGTAAGTATTAACACTTTCACCACTGTAGACCATAATGGACTCATCCAGATCAATGCATGGTAGAGTCTACTTAAGTTACATAAGGGTGAAAGTATTAACTCCAGTTCTCAAGCTCTTGAATTATTCTTTTATATTTAATGATAATATTAATTAGATTTAATTTTAAAACGGTAATGTATTTTGGAAAGTTTGCCAATTACATTATGTGAACATGAACACGATAGATTCAAGTAGGTATGATATTTCTGTAGGCTCTAGAATGTGCCATATACAACGAAATACAAGTTGAAATTACCTTAGTGAATATCCAATATCTGTTAAAATTTGGAAAGCCAATATTCCAGGAATGATCACGAAATTTCACTACAACATTGCAATACTCTGAATTCCTATATTGAGCGAGAGCAGATCCGGTTCTTTTAAATGAGTTAATGTTTTTGTTTGTTATGCTTTTTAACTAAAAGTGAAGTTCATATATATATATATTTTTACAGGAGCCCTGGTCTGTCCAATAAGTTCTCACTCAGCAAAACAGAAGAACTGAAGAAACGACCAAAGTTTAATTCCATTGTGAGCCGCAGCAAGCCCATGACAGGGACATAGACCTACCCTACAATTCTGTAATAGACACTGCCATTGTTGTATCTAGGGCTATTCCATTACTTGTAGAAGGGAGACATTCAAGTGCTTGTGAAGTCAGTCACCAAGCACAGGAGTGACAATTTGCTTGTGATAAATTTCCGTCCTTAACATATTTGAAATGACAAGAATCTGAATGATATCATGACCACATTCAGGCCCAATTATCTATTAAAATCATACCCTGTTATTCTCAAGACAGGAGAACACAGGTCTTTCTTCAAATATATATTTTTAAAATATTGAAATGCAAATCTGAAAATACATGTAGAGGATTCAAAATGTTTGTCATAAAGACAAAAACATAGAAATATTGTTACATTTTCACATATTGCTCACGAAATTGAACTTTTTTTGATATTTGTGTTGACACCTTGTCAAGGCAATTGGGCATTTAACAAACTGGGGCTTGATCTTGTATAGCAATTTTTTTATGAAGAGAACATATTTTGAAAATTTTATCTATTTTTTTTATATCATCCGTATATTTATGAAGTAATGGATTGAACGAGAATATGCGACAGCTGTATCAAAAAAGCAAGAATTTGATGCAAAAATCCTCCATTATGTTTAAAACACTACAGCAAAACCAATGTATATTGTCAACGTTTGTCAAGTGAAATGTTGGTGATATTAAAAAAAATATATCTTAATAATTGTCTAGATTAGATCCTGAGTATTTAAAACTTTCTAATCTAACATGATGCTTTAGTCCCATTTCTTATGAGAGCTTTCCAATGATACCTGTTTATTCCGACATCCTTTTTCATCTGACATAATCTATCCAGTACATTGCCTTCCATGTTATGGCCAATTAGACAGGTGTCGGAGAATATCAAAGGAAACATTAATTGCTGATGAACAGCAAATGAATATTAGACAACAAAACAAATTAGAAATAGATTTACCGTTTAGAATTAATTACTCTAGTACTCTGTAGAAAATTCATGTTTTATGATTAATATTTTTTATTAAAAAGATATTGTTTGTATTGATATTGTTCTATCAAAACTGTTACCAGATATATGCATTGCTTAGTTCAATATTTTTTTCCCGATAATATGATCTACTTTTCCATTTTAAACATTATCAGCTATTCAAATGAAAAAAAAGAAATGATGAGCAATTGCAACAACACCACTGAATCCGGTACAAAATGTAATGTTTGATTTACATCATAAGTGCTGACATGTTTCGGCCAAAGGAAGGCCATCTTCAGAGCACAGTTGCATGATTACATTATCAGCTATTGATTACTCTGTTTAAGACTATTACAGCTTATTTGTAAGTTTACTTGAAATACAATATTTAAAATATCCACATTATTATGGCAAGTCACTTAAACATTTAATACAATTTCAACTTAAGGTATAGTCTTAACTCATTCACCCCTGAAAACACATTTGAACTCTTCCAATTCAAAGGTTGGAATAGTTCATTATGAAATTTCAGGGGTGAATGAGTTAATCACTTAAGTAAGATTCACGCTTAATACTTAAGGTTGAGAGTCCTAGCACAAAGTTTTGTGTATACAGAAGGAGATCCCAATTTTCTACTCACAGTTGCTTGCCCATCTTAATACCTGGCAAAGAGTTATATGAAAAAATATAGATTTGTCTTTTTTTTCTTAGTTATAAAAAAAGATCTACCATGATGATTCGATCCCTGGGCCTCAATACTATTAAGCAAGGAGTTTGTCCACAGTGCTACTGGTGAGGTTATTTGTTTTGTAAATACTTTTCAAGAACATAACTGGGAATAAATTCCTTTGAATTGTTCTAACTGTCTAAAAATAGCCTACAATACAATGTATAATGGTCTTTGTGATAATAAACTTTTAACGGGAAAATAACTGTTCTTGTATTGTACAGTAGGAAAGTGACAAGAGACTCTAATTAAAGAAGTTGTTAATATTAAATGAAATTAATGATTATTTTATTTAAGGTTAAAAAATTTCACATGTGTGAAATAAAATTTTAGATCAATTTTCTTTAAGATCAAATTGTCCTAAGCATTCAAATGGCTTGTAATATATTGTTTCACTGCTAATAAAGAAAAAGTTGTGTCTGTTATAAATATTTTTACTTAACAATCTTCTTTGTAAAACACAATTTGGACATATGAATATGAGCATTTCCATGTTTTGACAGCCGAAATGGTCAGAAAACACGTTTTCTCATAATGTCATGTTCCGGTTAAAATCATGTTTCCCCACTGACAAATGAGAAGTGATATTAAGTGAAATCTACGGTACTGCAAAGTATAAAATATTTCATTGTTTTTTTTTACATAAACCATCAATTTTATTTTGGTCAGAATTGATATTGATCCATAAAAGAGAAATTGCATTGAAGTTCATAGTTGAGTTTTGCATTTTGCTTCATACACTGAGAGAAATTGCAGCTATTCCAGTATTAGATATATGGAGGTAGAAGTGTAGGTGTATGTGTGTAGGTGAGTGGAGAGGCGTTGAGGCAAGAAGGTATGTTGGAAGTCTACTGCCATCCAGTTATATGTTTCCTTTGGTCCGCTATACACTCTCACAAGGTACCGTCTTGCAATTGTTCCTCCCCATATATCAATAATGATATGGAATAGCTCTGAGTTATTTCCCTTTATTTGTTTGTCAAGTGCTAAATTTACTATGGCAACTTTTTAATTACTCGGTAGACAAATATTTCATAGACAAAGTGTTAGATTACATGGGCCTATTGTGAATGTAGGATATAAAATATTGAGTACGATTATTAAATTATTTTGTAGAAAAATCTTTGTTTGTGTTTTCTTTTTTATACGCCCGTCAAATTTGACTGGAGTATTATGGTATGGGTTTGTCCGTCTGTCCGTCCGGCGTAAACTTTTGTTTGTCCGGCAATCTCCTCCTACATTTTGCAACGAATCTCTTTGAAACTTGGTATACATTATAATCATGATATGAAGTTGTGCCTCACTTAAAAGAATTTTGATTCAGCTACTTTTGCAAAAGTTATGTCCCTTTGTTTATTTCAGTATTTGATTTTTGTCGGGCAATCTCCTCCTACATTTTGCAACGAATCTCTTTGAAACTTGGTATACATTATAATCATGATATGAAGTTGTGTCTCCCTAAAAAGAATTTTTGATTCGACCATTTTTGCAAAAGTTATTGCCCTCTGTTCATTTCAGTATTTGATTTTTTGTCCGGAGATTTTCTCCTACATTTTTTATAGTATGTCAGCTATATAACCACTCTTAGAATGATGCAGATCTTATATCAATGTAAGAAAGTATATAACACTATATGGCATTCGGCGGGCATATATTGTTCCTCCCCGCGGTACTCTTGTTTATTATTAACCAAAGTTAATTGCATTATGCATAATAGACAAACATACAGTTTATGTCTGTTTGCTAAAACATTGCAGACTGAGCTCTTTTTTGTGCTTAAGTGAATGTTGAAACACAAATCTGAACATTTTTTTAAACTACTTCTCCTAAAGGGCTCAATGAAGTTGAACCATATTTAGCATTCAAGACAAAATGTAACACTGCATCAGTTATTGTCACATAAGAACAAGTATCATGGAATACGCTTCATTAAAGGAGATTAAGCAAGAAAAAGGAGGCTTTTTGGCAAAGAGTCATTTTGAGTTATTTCCCTTGTCATGATGTTCATCTCAAACTTTGATGTATGTGTCATTCCTAGATAGTAATATTGGTTAAGTGTAAGATCTGCAGTGTATATGATTACTGTAGTTGTTATTGATTTTAGTCAAATACAGCACGTAACGATTCTAGAAAACAGGACGAAGTATTTCACTCTAGTGACTGGTTATAATTCAACTAGACAATGAAATTAAAATAAGAAAAAATAACAAGCAATACTGATTTTTATACTATATTTATTCAACATTCTCAAATATGATCATTATTATGGCAATATTATCCGTTGAAGGGACATCTTTGATAAAGATTTTAAGCTAACCATCCTTATAAAAAATATATCTTTGTAAGCGTTGTGACTAGTGAATCCGATAATTCAATCCGCATTGTCATTTTACACGTAACAACCGTCTGTAATAGAATAGAAAAAGATATTTTGCGTTTAGACAAAGAAGCTGAGATTTTATTCTCGTTGGAAAATACATCATGGATAAACGAAGATCTACTGAAAAAATCGTTTAAACGAGATAAAAGAAGAATGGCGTCAAATATATTGGAAATTTTCTGTAATTTAACGGGAGCATGAGTAAACAGAAATAAACAAAAGTCAACAACCAAAACAGAAAACTAACAACAATGCTGTTCGAACAAACAAAGTTTGAAATTACATACCCGTGGGTGGTTTTAGCGTTTAGAACTTAGGTGTTCGTGAAATTTAATTATTTCAAATAATATGTAAATAAGCATTCAATACACTCTGATTTAAATGGACTAGTACTAGTGTAGGTCGTATTTTAAAGAGTCAACCATGTTTATTTGTAATGCTACTTACCACTACATTTCTTGTAGCAACAGAAACACACTCCTCCAATACACAGCAGTCCCCCAACCCCGACAAGGACGGAAGTCAGAACGATTATCGCTATAATAGAGCTGAAATGAGGACAAACAAAATGTCTTGTTTATTAATATACAACATTTGCATAGCATGTGCGCGCTGTTTGTATGTACATTTCAAATGGTCTGTATTCATTAAAACAAAACGTGCACATATTTCGATGTTCAAGCCATTATTGACGTTTTTAGCTGGTCCCGTGAAAGTTGACATATGTGTATATGGTATCTTATTATTTTGTATGTGCTCAATTCACTATACTGATGAATGTGTAGGAGTTAATGTCACGTTCAACTATACATTGTAAAATTAACAGGTACAGAGAATCTCAATTTTGTTTGCCCTTTTTATCGCATGTGTAATCATTTTACCTAAAAAGTAAGCTTAAGGCCGAAATGTTAACAGAACCATATTCGAACTTACAACCGTTAGTACTAGGGCAAAATGTGAACAAGGGAAAGATCTACATGGAGGAGACACTTGAACGAGTACAAGCAGAACAAGATTAATAGAATCTCACATGGGTCTGTTCCGTGGATAGGGATATCTCAACCCGAGTATAATTAAGAGGCTGGCCAGCCAAACTTTTACACTCGGGTTGAGATATCCCTGTCTATGCAACACACCCATGTTTTATTATTTTTCTCACATACATACAAATAAACAAATTCCAGTCGGAACAAACGTCGATCTTATTCTTCCGGCAAACCCAAAAGCCCTAGGGTGTAGACGGATGATTCCCCATTCACAACACTTGTATGACATCACGGAAACAATAAAATGACGTCACGTCGACAATCCATTATTATGACGTCATAGCGCGTGTCAGCTGTCTTTACCTACCCCATGATAGATAGAGTTATATTTTCCCTAGCAACAACGGGATCACCCTGTGAAGTATGTGAGAAAAGGGTGTTCCGGAAGGATACGCGTCATCAGTTTTACTTTGATGTTATCGGACTTTTTCTAAAGACGTCAAAATGGGGTTTATTATATATGTGGCATCCTATAAAAGTATGCAATGTTGTTATCACACTACATAGAATATAGAACATGTTACATAATGTGTGATTACCCTTCATAATTACCTATCTGGCTCTGTTGAAACAGTGGGCGATACTGCAGACTGGGCAGACGACAACGCTATAAATAGAAATAAAGGAAATTTTATCAAACAGGCGCGGAATTTTCCGTCAGACAACACACCGTGTATAACAGTATAATATACAGGTTGTATAAAAAGCATATAGCTGCTAATACATACGATACCGGGAGCAAATATTACAGCATGACAAGATGCCTAAAAGGACGAGGAATAGGTATGCCTAATCATAGGCACTTGACGCTTTGTTATGTCAGATTTTTTGATTTTTTTTTATATAAGTATACATTTTTTTTTCAAAATTATTATCTGAATAAAAAAAAGAAATGCCATTTTTTTATTTTATTTTTTTAATGTACATACATTCGAACCAATGAAGTGGTTCGAATGCATGTACATTAAAAAAGAAAAATTGACATTTCTTTTTCTTATTCAGATAATTCTCAGATAATAATTTTGAAAAAAAAATGTATACTTACATAAAAAAAAAAAAATCTGACATAACAAAGCGTTAAGTGCCTATGGCCTAATGTATCAAAACATCTCTGTGGGTTTTAGGAACCGTTTCCGGTCTATTTGTATATACATGCCGAGAGCCAAACAAAGTGTGTTAAGACATATTAATCTTCTATCTTTCCCTATGAGAGTGCGATATCGAGACACGTCCTTGCAAACATAATTGAAGCAGTTGCCATATAACTATTAATGTGTTTTTATTGGAATTATATTCTATATTTATAAAATGGTGAGTATAGTAAATGGATGTATATATATATACATGTATATATTATCACAACTATATATTCTTGAATAATGACACATGCATGTAGAAATCACGTGACGTTATCTCTCGTGACAACGTTGTGTTACTAAAATCATCAAAATTTTTAAAGAATATTATTGATATACTTAAAACTAATTTATAAACGTTTTATTATCTTTTAATCTATGATCAAAATTAGATTTACATAATAGATTACATACATTTTTTTAATTATAGAAATACATTATCTCAATTATTTATAACATATTTCATCTTACTTTTATACTGAAAAAGTATATCGTCTATATCATTTCATATATTATACACAATACAGATATATCTTATATGATTTTCCATTTCTTACCTGCAATAAAAAGAAAAAACG